GAATGAAAACAGCCATAGACAACACAGAAACAAATGAGTATGGCTGTGTTCCAATAAAACTTTATTTTCAAAAATAAGTGGTGAGCCAGATTTGGCCCACGGGCCATAGCTTGCCAAGCTCTACTTTATTACATCATCTTTACTTTTATTATGAAAATTTTCAAATATACAAAAAAACAGAGAGGACACCGTGAATCCATGATTTAGTTTTAACAACTGTTAACATTTTTGCCACATGTACTTCATCCATTTTATTGTTGTATTGTTATAAAGAAAATTATTGTCATTGTGAGATTGCCCTCCCCCACTACTTTAGCATGAATCTTTAAAAATCAAAGCATATTACTGCATAACTAATCTTTAAAGGAAGCTCCTCCGGTGGCATAGTGCCTAAGGCATTTGACTGCTAACTAGAAAGCTGGCGGTTCAAATCCACCATTCACTGCTCACAAGGAAGACTGGGCAATCTACTTCCATAGAGATACTGCCTCAGAAACCCAAGGAGGGGTTGCTATCAGTACTATGGCATAACCTAATAAAATTTATAATATTTTCTTAACAATCTTACTTAAATTTCTACAAAATTACTTCTAAGGCTATTTTTTTAAAACTTGGACTCTAATTAAGGATCATCCATTGTATTTGGTTGTTACATGTCAAAAGAAAAGTTACTCAAATCTACAACAGAAACCTTGCTCCCGATATTTTGCATGTGCGTACAACATTGACTCAGAGGAATATTCTGATTTTAAACAATGTGAACGATATAACTAACCAAAACCAAAACCACTGCAATGGAGTCAGATCTGACTCATAGCACCCCTCTTTGGGTTTTCATTGGGTTTCTAGGGTGAAAACCCTCCACGGAAGTAGATTGCCCAAACTTTCTGCCGAAGAGTGGAGTGAAAGATATAGGTATCAATATATTAAAATAGAGACACACAGAAATTTTGTTCATTTATGTTATTCTTAAGGGATCCCTGGTGGCACAAGTGGTTAAGCATTTGGCTGTTAACTGAAAGGTTGACACCTCAAACCCATCCAGACTCTCGGGGAAGAAAGCCCTAGCAATCTGCTTCCATAATGATTATACCCAAGAAACCCTATAGGACATGTCTACTCTATCATGTGCAGTTGCTATGAGTTGGGATCTACTGGACAGTTCCCAACAACAATAACAAATATCATTCTTAACTTGTTTACCTCAAATTCTTCTCTGTTGTTAATAGTTTTTCTATTGTTGGTTTTCTTGTTTGTTTTTAACCTTCCACCCATTGTTTCTCTTTGAAACAATATGTGAAGCTGATCAGGGTAATTTAGAGACATTTATGAAACTAGAAGTTCACATATAGCATATAAGCATATGCCAAAGAGCTTTTCTGCCATATATATGCCTATGTAATGGGTGCTCTGAAAATGAATGGGGATAGAACAGTCATTTAGACTATTGATTAGACTTAAGAAGTTGTACATCAGTAGAATCCATCAACTTTTAAGAAGCTATTTTTATTTTTAAGATGGTATTGAAGTATCCCAAGCTGTGAACAAATATAGAAATGTAGACACTTGGGATGTCATTCTAGAGTTGGCAGTGCCTTATGAAGGAGAGAAAAATCTTTCCAAGAGAATTCTGATTTCTGTGGGAAGAGCTATCAGCTTGCCAGGGAAATTCCACAGACAGAAAAACCACCCCTAAATTTTATAAAATTTCCATGAAATGAAAATCATCAGTACGTGTGTGGAGGTGAACATATTTAAAAATGTTCAGAATAGAAATTGGGTGCAGTGGAATTGGATACTGAGACAATAGTGCATTGTGGAGTTATAAATGAGATGATTAGAAGAAAGAATGGAGGAATGTGAATGTGAAAATGAGAGGGGTTTGTGTAGTGCATATTTTAAAGCATCTTAACTGATTGGAAGTAGGAAATAGGATCGCTAAGAAGTCAGGAAAAGGGACCAACCCAACAGAGATAATAGGAGTCCAGAAAGGAAAAGGAATTAAAAGGTACTGATTAGAAACTGGAGCAGAGGTAGAGTTCTCAGTTAAGAAAAGGAATGGTGTAGATTTAATGAAGAGGACTGAATTTAACAGAAAAGAAAAAGTTAAGACTTGGAGTAATAATAATAATAATAAAGATAATAAAAGCAATGAGGCTCTAAACCTCTACACTGTAATATGGTGGCCACTAACTACATACAGTTGGCAGTTCAAACTCACCAGCCACTCCTCGGAATGAATGATAAGCAATCTACTTCCATAGTGATACTGCCTCGTAAACCCAAAGAGGTATCGCTATGAGTTGGGTCCGACTTGATGGACAACAACAACAAAAATAAGATTAAATAAAAATTAAATTTTTCTATCATAATAGCCACATTTCAGTCGTTTAATAGCCACATGTGGCTACCATATTGATCAACGCAGATAGAGAACATTTCCTCATTGCAGAAAGTCTTATTGGACAATACTATACCAAGGAAATTAAAAAGAGTAGGAAAGAGAAAAAGTCAGGAAAAGAGGAGAAGGGCTGGTGCTTCATAAACACTGTCTCCAACCTATGCTTAAACTCATCAGTTTCCATGCGACTGTCAGGACAGCCGCCACTCTGCGCCATTAGGGTTCGGTCACATCTCCTCTCTGGAAAGTTGCTGGAGAGGTTACTGCCTTAGGAATGCTCTGGCTGGTTGTGATTGTTGGTGTGGGACATTTCAGTTAGGAGTGGCGTCAAGGTTAGGTTTGGGGAAGAATCATCCCATGGAGGAAGTTGCTTGCCCCTGGAAAGCTATAAGAGTAGCTCCTTTCCTCTCTAGTGTCCGGTGAACATATGATCCTACTACTAATATATTGCTCAGATTAAGCCATAGGTTGACTTTCACATTCTATCATAGTGACTCACAAAAAACTTGACTTGAGCATCTTATTTTATTTATTCACATCAATTAATTCTATCGCAAGCATTCTTATTCACTGCAAGTAAAAATGGGCAGCCTATCTCCTTTCCTCCATGTTCCATAATGAATGGCATGAAATTTTAAACCACTGTTGAGTAACATTCTTTGCCACACACTTGTAGTGAAATGATGGCTTTCTGTAGAACTTCAGTCCCTCAGAGATACCCTACCTCTGTGAAGCATTTTTAAGATCCTTTCAACCATGATCAACATCTTATCAGATCTGTCTATGGTTCCAGACAGCCACTTCACTCTCTGAAGGCATCTAGCATCCACAGGCTTCCTGCCATCCACAGTATTTCTAGACATTGACAGGTGAAAAGAAAATATTCAAAGAACACGCTCAAACACTGCCTCATGAAGGTCACTATTTATTTTCACAAAGCTCAGAGCAGCATTCAATTTCCTATTTACATGTGTGGGCAGCCTTTCTTCAGTGTATTCCCCATGTTCTAATTGGCTCACTCTCCAGATTCTTGGCTCTGGGCTTGAGAATCGTCATTGACTTTTAACCCACCTCACCTGAAGAGCAGCTTTCTGTGTGGCCATTAGTGTCTCAGGCACTGTGAACCTTGTTTCAAAAATTATCAACTGGATTTTCATTGGAGGTTTTGATTATTTACTTTTTAATCTAGCCTAGTGACATTTTAAGTTTTGTTTTAGTATATTTGAAAAGAACAGAATTTTTTAAAAGAAAAATGATCACAGGGAGAAAATATTCATTTACAGAGAAAACAGAGGCTTCCCTGGATTTAGTCTAGTCCCCTAAAGAGAACTGTGATTTATGGAGAAGACCTTATAAATGTAAGTATCATCATCTTCCTTATTTGAATAAATACCAAAAAAAAAAAAAATCCCCGTTCTCAACATTAGCAAATATTCTATACCTTAAACAACTTTGAAAATAATTGAATCTTTTCTAACATCTACTGAAATGGAAAGTTTATCATTTTCTGCTGTGACCTGAGGAGTTTATCATTTTCTGCTGTGACCTGAGGATTTGGCTATGACCATGGGCCAGATAATTCTCTTCAGATAATATAAGCTCCCATACTGCACTTGTCTTTTAATATAGGAAGAAAAAAAAACAGGCTGTAAATAAATCACAGCGCGAAAACCCCTCTCAACTGTCCAACTCTCCATACTTTCAATCAATTAAAATGCCTGTCTCTGAAAACGTTCAGATAAGGAGTGAATCTTCAGTGCCCCACAGAGAGTTACTTTTTAGCTAGAAGAAGGGTGTGTCCCCCAGCTTTTACCTGGGAGCAATGATGATCTTGTCAAGCATTTCAGTGAGACCAGCCCAAGTTTTTAGGGTGGGGATCCGGACTGGTTATACGTACCGCCAGTCCTTCTCCCAGAGGAAGGCAGAAACACCTCAAAGCCTGCATGTAAGAACATCTACTGAGAAATTATTTTAATCAGACATCAGCTGAGTGGGGGAAAGCAAAAGAACACAGAAGAACAAGCCAAACTCCCTTGGTCTTGGATGTAAGAGAACACAGCAACGATGGACTGGCACTTCGGAACAGCTGCTATGCTGTTCGTTTTTCTGGTAAGTGGATCCTGTCAAAACCCTTCAAAATTATTCTCACTGTCAATGAGTGAGAACTTTTTAGAAAATGTTATTTAGTGTTATTTCTAGCCTAAACCCATTAAAAGTTTATGTTAATGACAAGGTGATTTTATGAACTAGATTTTTACATAGTGCTTCTCTCTGTAATTGAAGACTAGATCGTATTAATGCATCAGCGTCAACTCACCCTATCACATGTCTAAGACTGAAGTTCATGCTAAATCATGCTGGGAAAACGTTGATTTAAGGGAACCCGTATAGCTACTTAGTAGCACTTTGTTGTTCAAATCTCTTTTGCAGGTGGGGCCCTGATTTTTACTTAAGACTTTCTCTATTCCTTTAGCATATTGGTGGGAAAATTCACAGCCATTTTTCAAAACATAAAATAGGATCCATACAAATTAAAATCATAGCACTTTGTAGCTGGTCTTACGATCCAAACAACCTCTTCAGCTACATATATGCTTAAGAGCCATGCCACTAATATCAAAAGCTTCACTCTGCTAAATTATGCTTTTGTTTAAAACAGGATTTTTTAATTTTAAAAAATGGCAATATAAGAGATATATAAATGACATAGTAGTTGAAAGAATTGCTGTAATTGAGGAATAAATATAATTATTACTATACTTGTTCCTAGTACTGGAAATTCAGCAATAACTATGACATAACAGAAAATGATCTTCTATTGCCCCCGTTATTACTTTATTAGTTTTCTCCTTCTAGAGCTAATACTAAATACAACACCAGGGTATTGCATCAATTTTACTGACGGTATGAATATCAAAAATAGCCATCTCTCTCACAGTAAGTTTAACGCCATCCAAAAAGGCAGGTGCCAGGTGAATCTTCCTCCACCTTGGCAAGAGGGAATGCTGTGGTTCATTTATTTGTTTCTACTTGCTTAATTTCGAACTGCAATGTTGGGTTTGTCTAATAACAAGTTAATGCTTTTATTCAAGGTACAGTGGTTAGTTTAAAGTCAATTCATTAATTAAGAGGGGTCACAATCGGTTGATTTAGTTACAAATGAGCATCAATGAGCTAGTAGCTTTGGTACCAAACTGCCCTTCAAATTACTCTGTTCCATGGACTCTTTTACAGATCTTTGGGATCAGCTGCTATTGTAAGTCAGTATGTGGCAGGAATCAAGGTATATGATGCAGTATGCCAGTTGAACATAGGACCATGTCAAATAACCAAATTCTTTTACCTTTAATTTCACATAAATTTGATCCACTTAGGCCTATGATAGATTCAATTGATATGTTTGTTTGGGTGTTTATGTCCTAATTTCCATTAAATCTGTAAGATATGCCTTATTTCTTGATTTACATGATTATTTCTCATTGATTACCATCCTAGCCAGTTCCTAATTAGTCACTCTTCAATAAAATATATAATTTTATCAAAAACATGTATTCTCATTGAATTTCCTCTCTTTGGAGAGAGGATTCTGAGTGTTCATATTTTCTGAGCCGGGCTAGCTTTTGTTTGTTGGTTACTTGGTTGGTTGGTTTTGCCATATTTGACTCGGAATCAATTACTAACTAGCTTCTCAGATCCTCCAAGATAATTATTGCTCTAAGAACTCTTTGTATAATGAATCTAAATATTTCATTTTCACATGAACATAACTGTTGTAAATCATTTTACTTTTTAAGGTTTATTAGCAAACTAATTTATTTCTATCAAATGATTTTGGTAATTGCATTTTGGAGTTACCCAATTTGTCTTTTGCTTTAAAGATACTTCTCCTCTCCCCAACCTCCCAACCACCCTCACCCCACAAAGGACAACCACCACTGAAGTGAACTCTTCCATTATCATTCTATTTCCTTCATTAGAAATGCTTGCTTTTGCCAAAAAAAGATTCTATGTAAAGTGCTAAACGTTGATAAATGAAGATTCATGTAAAGGAGCATATTTGATCAATTATTAAGACATTTAAATTTTAAGACATTAAACTTTAAAGTAAATCCATTTGAGACATGACCACTATCTGCTTACAAGCATATTGTGTAGATTGCTCAATATTTCTGAAGGTTTCAGACCTCATTAAAATTAGTGGGCTGGACCAGGGAGAACAAACTTGGAAGAGCTTCTCTTATAATGACAAAGATTGCTACATGACTATGTCATTATTCAGGCTAGCGTCCTGTATAGACAGACACTAGCTTACACCTGCAGGTCAAATACATTTCCTGGTTTTGCACTGATTTTTCTTTCTTTACTGCTTCTGTGAAAACAGTGTACTTGAGGGGCATGGGGATGGTGATTAGAATGTATTTCCTCTGAGCTGAAGGCCAATGTTACCTTATGTCCCAAAGATAAGAAATCCGTGTGAATGGTTGTGACTATAATAAAAGGTATGGCATGATCTTTGTGGGAGAGTGAAATAGAACCAGTAGAATTTCTGTGGTTGTAATGATTTCTGCACCAGCCACTCCTCGAAAGGAAGTTTGGGCAATCTGCTTCCATAGTGATACTGCCTAGGCAACCCAAGAAGGGGTCGCTATGAGTCGGGGCCGACTCGATGGCACATAACAACAAC